AAATTCCGAATTCATACGACGATCACTAATTGATAAAAAGTACAGTAAATCTAAAACTTGTTGAAAACCAGTTTTAGTCTTTTTATTTTTTTGAAAAAATAAAATACAAATTTGTAAATAGAAACAGGTTTATTTTGTTATTTCTATGAATATATAAAACCAAGAAAAATACCCAATTATTTATAAAAGGAAACATTCTGTATTCAGTCATGAAAACATCACTCAACATATTCTATATTGGTGATGGCCGATGAAATAATTAAATATCATGTAAGCCATAATCATTAGATTTAAGGACTATAAAAGTGCAAGTTTGACTTTATATATGAAAGATTTAATTATCAAGTCAATTAATTTTATAATCCAACATATATTGATTATCAACTTCAACTAAGATATCAAACCTTGGTCAAAGATAATTATTTAGCTTTAGCATTTGTTATATATAGGGATGGAATAATTTTCGTAGATTTAATTTCTTGATGAAGAAGATAATGATATAAGACTTACGCTATGAGTAAGTGCAGGATAGCCATAACCACCACCATTGGAGGTCTCATATTCCATCCCCAACTGAAACTTCTGGCTCTGAAACTCTTGGTGGTGATGATTTTTCTGAACCGGCACCACACTATCGGCGTTGCCACCACCATACATCTTTTCCGTCACCTTATAGCATTGTTGCTGATCTTCACCGAATTCCATGAACTCCAAGTACTCATCGTCACCTCCTTCTCCACTAAACAAATACCCATTATCTTTACCATTTTGATTTTGGCTGTTCTTGGGAGGCGGCAGACCATCAAACAACAACCATGAAGCTGCTTCGTCTTCATCCTCATCGTCAATGGTGTCTTCACCGTCGTGTGACAAAAACCCACTTTGAGATTCAACTCCTAGCCCCATCACAGTCCTTGGATCAGCAACCTGAGGTCCATAGAGAGCACTTGGAATCGGCATGACCGGGACGCGGTGGTGCCGCCGTGCAAGAGGGTTGGCGGAATGGATATCGGCGTCACAGGTGGTGCAGAGGGAGGCGGCGTCGGCTTTGCATATAAAAGCCGCCGGAGCTTGCTCACACGCTTCACATACCCACACACGTTCGTGCTGGGAAGATTGCAGCTTGTTGGGGGCGTGGATCCGGGCGTCGCAGGCAGTGCAGAGGTACGCGGCGTCTGGGCGGCAGTATATTGTGCAGGGGGCGGAGCGGCAGGTATCGCAGACTCGAGCCCAGGTGGTACTACTTTTTAAGCATAAGATACTGCTCTGATCTAACATTCTGTATTTGGGTTTGTAATTGTGTGGTTCGTGTTGTAGTTTTTGAGTTCCGTTTTGTGGTCACAATAAAGAAGCAAAGTAACAAGTGGGAGGCGGAGGAGAATCTAGAAGATGACACGTGGAAAATAACTAGTGGGTGAGAAAGTTTGTGAGGATTGGTAAGAGTCTATGTGGGGCCAAAGTAATACCAATGAGATGTGCGAAAAGGAAACTGTGGACCCCTTGATTCTTCAAATTTTAAATTTAGTAAAACTTATTTTGGGCGTCCTTTAATATATATAAATTACAATAAGTAAATTAAATTATTGGAGCTTTGATTTGGCTACGTACCAACTGTTCTATAACATGCAAATTTACTTTGTATAACTTTTTACTTAAATATTCATAATTTATAGTTTTATATTTAATTTTGAGACACTTTGTTATTTAATATTTATACACTAACTAGGAAAAAAATAAATTCTTAGTCGATACAAAAGGGGGAAAGCTTTTCAATTGTGGGGTGAGGAAGCTCAAGGTCGACCCGGTTAGTGTTGACAAATTTGGAATCTCTTTCAATACGTGGGTCCATGGGCCACGTGAAGCGGATCATGGTCAGCCCTTCTCTCTTGTAACAATGCAACCCATATTGTCGTTTAGCTTAGCTGGTGGGCCTCACTTGCTTGCTTATCTCTGATACGTGGCAGTTAATTGTGGTTGCCAAATGTCGTGTGGGGCCAAAATGAGTAAGTTTCATATGGTACTTCAACGAATGGCTCTACTCCGACCACATCTCTAATTTAGATGGTGCTTCCTCTTTCTTCTTTATTTATCTTATTCCCCTTTAGTTTTATATCTTGCATTTTAATTACCTAAAATTTAAAGTGTTTTGGAGTTATGAGTACCTGGGAAGAGAGATTTTGGAATGGGATGGAATAGAAAAAATGGGAAGCGCTATCGATATGGTTTTTTTTGTAAGGGAGAAGCTTGTGAATCCCCTTCCAGACTGTCAGTTATTAAAAATAATCAGTTCGTAAACCGATCTTGATCATTTAACTTGTTTTTCTCCCCGAGTAGTTTGGTTCTTAACCGATTTCCCCCCACAAAAATGTGAGCATGTGACTGGTCTGCTTCGTTACTTAATTGGTTTTCACTGGTTTTTTATGTTCTTTCTACTTCTTCACTTGATCAGTTTTTAACCGGTATCAATTATTCAGTTCAAATCCGATTTTCAGCATCTAGAATGTCATATGGTTAAATCTGATTTGGATTGGATCAAACCGTTCAGTTAAACTAGTTTTAGATTCGATCCAGATCCAGACACAAAAAACCTGTTTCGTTGTAAACATCTAAGTGAAAGTGTCGTTGAACCCGTATAATTTGTATTAATATAAAGACATAATTTTAATATATTCCTACAAAAGGAATTTGTTGAAATTTTAAGTATCAAGATACAAGTCTAATGTACGGTTAGATTGATAATGTTATAATGAAGGTATTATAAGATGACCCAATTTTCTATTTTTTTCATATTACATGAAAGAAAAATATGCATCTATATAAAAATCCCATGAATACATCTATATTACATATATATCATGGCTAAGTGATATAATTAGTTTTGATATTCTAAAATTTATTGATTCATTATTACATTAGATTGAGATTGGCAACTAATATTTAAAATTCAAAGTTTTTTTAAATGTCGCGTACATATACTAATCTATAAGAAGTTAAAAGTCATATATACAAAAGTCAAGGGTGTCAAGTTGCATTTATCGAACTTCTTATCTACATAGTTCAAACCAAATTATATGACTTTTATTTCGTGGTATTAATTTATTGGACCACAAGTATTCACACAAGGGTTTCCCCCTTTATCGACTTATTATAATCATTTTTCCTATGTACACTTTTCTTCTGTATTTGCTTTTGAATGTCAACTTTCACTTTTTCTTTATAATCTTGACGCTAATACTGTTTATAATATGGTATCTGTGATGTGATTACTAATATCATTGAACATTGAACGGATTCATATAAGTCATAAATTGAAAACATGTTTTCTATTCAACAATAAATATAGTAGAAGCAATAAAGAACAATGGAGTCTAACTATTAACTCCATGGCATTACAAGCTTTGCTTCCTACACATAATCTTGATCCAGATGAATCTGTTTTAAAGTACTTCTTGAAATTAAGCCTCTTTCAACTGCTAGATTCCAAAAAGTTCCCAAAATACCCTTATCAGCAGCATAACTAGCAGCAAAACTTTTATGGATTTTGTGAGTAATCATCATATCTCCAATCTTGCAATAAGCATTAATCAGTGTGTAGCAAGTGATGTTATCAGGTACAACCTTTTTTTCCACTCATTTCATTCAACAATTTGTTTGCATCCTTTATTCTTCCATCTTCACATAAATTGTGCAGAATTGTGTTACATGTAACAGTCTCAAGAGACAACAGTTTAGCTTCCATTTCATCACGCAAGGTCAAATCTTGGTCAAAACTGTTGACTCTACAACACCTATAGATTACAGTAGTGTAGGTCACGTGATTTGGATTTGTGCCTTTCTTTTCTTTAAACATTCTTAATGCCTCCCTCATTCGACCTTGTTTATTTACAGTATCCAATTATCCATAGATGAAGGAACTATAGGTTATAATGTCCGGATGGATACCTGACCTGTCCATTCTATCTTGAATACACAAAGCCTCCTAATGCATAACTTTCTTACAATATAACAATATGTAAACAGATCAGGAGAAACAGAGTTAAACTCCATCTCATTCAACAATTCTTATGGTTTTGTCCATATCAGAAGACTTGCAACAAGCATGAATCAAGACATTGAAGATATGCAAATTTGGAACAATCCCAGTCTTGGTCATTTCTTGTAGAGCTTACAAACTGTGTCAGTCAGCCTATCCTTAACCAATGAGTTTAATAGAACATTGCAAGCAGGCAAATGTGGTTTTAAGCCATGAACCCTCATGAATTGCATCTTGGGTCATCTTTGAATTTGCGTAGAAGATTACTAACCAGCAAAACACATCTTGGTCATCAAAGGTAGTGGAGAGTGCATTCAAAACTGTGGGTGAAGGTAAAAATCTCTCTGGGCAGCAGTTTTGAAGTGTATGTTTTCTCAGAACACGAGTCATGGTCCAAGAAGTTTGTAACGAGTGCTTGTAATTAGGGTTTAGTTCAACCCATTTTGCAAGAGATTCTGAAGTATATGAGGAAATGATTGAACAGATTTTGGATTTTAAGAGAAGGTCCCAAGAACAAGCCCTTAGTACAACTACACACACTGTTCTCACTAAATGTGGGTTTCAAATGGATGTAGCAGTGGATGAACAGGTTGCCAAACCAAGAAAGCACTCTGTCATATGCACAATGCACAATACGAAAAATCATATACCAATTGCAAAGTCAAAAAAACAATGAAACACCGCCAAATGCCAAATGCCAAATGCCAATACATCAGAAACAATGCCAGTGACTTAAACATGAAACAAGTCATATCATATCATCATACAGCCGTGTCTTAGTTAAAACAAAAGGCAGCCAAAAACAAACGAAAGACAACATGGTACAGTCAGATAGTAAATACACACAAAATTAGAAGCAAAAACACACACACACACACACTCTCTCTCTCTCTCTCAGCCAGACAGACGCAAACAGCTTCACAACCACACTAGACATTCCACTTCACAAACTCTAATTTTCTCATTCTCACTCATCCTCATTCTCATTCTCAGTTTCACTCCAACAGCTTCTATGCAGAGTTGATCGCGGAGACAACCCACAACCACTTCCACCCTTGACATACCCAAAGAACACCATCTCGCCCCCTCCTTCACCCAAATCTTCAAACTTCATTTCTTCAACACTGTACCCCTTAACATTCACACACATACCATTATCATCCAGATCAAGATCCAAATCTTTCAACTCATCTCCATGCAAAGCCACCGAAAACTCACTCGGCTCAAAGCAGCCCAAAACCCGTTCAATCAAACAACCCAGATCCGCAGACTTGAAATCATAACCAACAGCTTCAAAACTAGCATAACTAAACCCATCTTCTGGGGTCACATGAATGGTCGAGATCGCATCACCTTCAATCGCATTCATCGAATACCCACACGGGTCAAAATCAAAATCACAAATCTCAGATTCCGGAAGAATCTTACGGATTCCAGAACCTTCAGTCATCTCCACCGCACAGCTCGATTCCGATTTGAAAAACACCGATGCTTTCTTCTTGCTTAAACCTGTCATGCACATCTCAAGAGTGTAAACCGAAACGGATTCCATTCCTTCAGCTGAAGCAGAGTAGACGTGCCATTTCTGATTCTTGTCATCACCTCCCATGACATAAGCATTGGAAACAAGGTTTCCAAAGTGGCTATCGAGTACCATTACTTCTTCAGTGAAGCTCCTGTGAGGGTACACCTGAGCTCCGGGAAAGATAAAGCTTCCACGGGTGTATCGAACGGATTTCACAGTGAGTGAAAGTTCACCGGATAATTTGAGTATAACCGGGATAGAAAGGAGTAGCTTTGTAGTGCCACATGTTTTGATGATGATCTTGTATGGGTAAACAAAAAGACTGGATTCCGATAGAACATAGGAATCGAGTGAATCGTTCGATAGTGAAGAAACAATCGTGCATTCCGCCGGTGCTAGAAATTCGTCAATTTGGTCCTTTGTTAAACAACGGAGACCTCGGTTTCCAGGGTCAGGACCAGGGGTAAAAAAGGAAATCTCGAGCCTCTTCTCAAAGCCTTCGAATCCGATAGCAGACATTGTGGACGTCATCTTTTTTGTTGTAAAGAGAAGAATTGGGGAAAAAGGAGGAAGGAAAGAAGAGTAGAGAGAATGGAAAAAGAAAAGTTGTTATCTAGAGCCTAGGGGTTATGTAGGAGGGATGTTAAAAAAACTCAGGACGGCTTGCGGGTGCACTGCAAGATGGAAAATGGGAATGTGTTAAAGCGGTTTGATTGTAAATTGTAACGATGGAATGGAATGGAATGGAATGTGGATGATGGAAAGAGAAACTTACGTTGGAGAAAGCAGCAGATTTGAATTTCCTGAGGCCACCGCTTGGACGAACGTCTTCAATACCGTAACCTAGGGGAGCTTCGTAAAATAAAGATTTACTACCAGACTTTTTGCCAGCTTTTGACTCCATTAGATCATCCAATTGTCCTGCATGAGTACAGTGAAACATTAGTTAGAGCATTATAGCAATTTCACAACGTCTGGTACACTCAGCTGCAACAAATTTCCAACAAATTTGAAAACCAGGGTTGAAAGGGGTTTTGAGTATTCGTAACATGCCAAGATGTGAATTTCATAGGTTTTAGGATGGAATGTTGAAATTACTGAGTTGTAAATTCAGATGGAATTTTAATTCCATACACATTTGCAACAAAACAAGAATCTGAATGGAATCGAGCTCCAACTCCGTCAAACCAAAAGCCCCATTAATTGCAAAAGATTAATGCCTCAAAGGAAAATACTTAAAAACCGTTTTCCCCTTTGATACGCTAATATGAAAACCAGTAAACCACACCAAGAAAACGAACGTTTGAAACAAACGCAAATGATTACATATAATTGCAATTAACAATAACAACAAAACACGATGATCAACGTTACATCATTTATAACAGGCCATTGTCTAATGTCTACGACAAACAACCAACTCAAATAATGCAAAACCCTAAAAACAATCCGCGCCAAGTAATAAGAGAGGTGAATGACTTACGGATTAAAAACGAATAAAAGAATGAGAGATCCGCAATACGTAAGCCTCAATGGAGCAAAAGCCTGAAAAAAGGGATCCCAAAAACGTTATAAATGCAGACAAAAAAACGATAGATAAACAGCAGAATCAACAGGCGAAGAACATACCGATTGATTTATATTGTAAATCGATAAAAAAATATGATTGGATCGAATCAGAACCCTAGAATCTGGAACTAATCGATCGAGAAATTAGGCAGGTGAGGTGGTAGATTTATATACGGGTGGGGGTTTGAGAACTTGTGGGTGATAATAAAAAGAGGGAAAAGCGGAGAAAGTACCGGCCCAAAAAGTATCAGGTGTTGACACGTGTGTTTTTAGGATCGTTAAATGACTATTTTATCCTCGGGAATAGAAAGTGGAGGCGTGGAGCTTCTTTTGTCATCTCCAATCCCTTAAAATATTCATTTGTGTTATTTTGGTTTAGTTTTTCCAACTGCTTAAAATACAATATTTAAGATTATCTTATTTTATATATTGTGCTTAGAAATGTTGAAATTTGTGAAATCTTTTACATATAAAGCAATACAAAGTATCCTTTGGGATGACTTTGGTGTCGATACGTTCAAATGGTATAACTTATTTTAAAATAATCTTAAATCAACCTCCAATGATGAAACATATGTGTGGATATACTGGATGTATGGATTAAGTAGTACAAATTTTAATAAAATCATTTTACAACAAACCCGGTTTTGAATCAGATTTTATCCAAATAAAAATAATTAGTTTTGTTGTATACCTCTATGTGAACACGTATAATTTGTTTTAATAATTGGTTTTGTTGTATACCTCTATGTGAAGGTGATTGTAAAATTTTAGCATCAAGTCTAATTTATGGTAAAGTGACATAAGGTTACAATGGATGTAGTATAAGCTCACCAACTTTCTGATTTTTCATATTATATGAAAGAAACTAATGTCTTAAACTGTAAGTTCCATTTGGAAAGTTCACAAGTCCTGTATGTTTTGGAGTTTGGACTATGTTGCGTACATATATTAATCTATAAGAAGTTAAAAGTCATATATACTAAATCCAAGACTCGAGGGTGTCAAATTGCATTTATCGAAATTCTTACCTTCAAACAAATTAAAAATGGTGGTATTTGGACCACAAGTATTCACACAAGGGTCCCTTTAGATATATCAATAATTATTATAGAGAAATTTCCAAAATAACCAAAGAAAAAACCTTCTTTCCAGTAATGACTTTAGATATATCAATAATTATAGAGAAATTTCCAAAAAAATCTTTCCAATAATGACTATCGAGTCGGCAGAGGGGCTTCTGTGGATTAGGCATGCCCTCTGTGGACTAAGCTTTAATTCAAATTGTAGGGTTATTTTTGTAAAATTTACACTAATCAGTACTTTACTTGAGTCCGCAGTACCCTCTCTGCAGACTAGCCATACCGACTGGTTCTTCATAGAGTGAGGCCCCGTTTGATAGTTTCTGACTGAGAAAGTGCTGACTGGGAAAGGTCTGTCTGGGTAAGAAATCCTGACTAAGAAAGAAACCTTGCTGTTTGATTGTACATCTGACTGAATATACTGACTGATAAAAAATGACAATTTTACCCTCCTGCTCTAACATAATATTTAAATATTAAACAATTTTCTATCAATAAAGTGTCAACTATATTTATCAATTATATCAAGCCAAACAAAATTCAACATAGTTTTCTATCTATGTCTCTGTCACATTGATTGAAACAAAAATCAATCCAAATGTATATACATACTGGAAAACGATTGGAAAAAAACCACAGTAAACAAAATTTAACATATACAAACACCACTATGTGCACATCTTCTTTTAAGGTTTCAATAAAATGTTGCCAATCATACAGATCTTTGAATCCACTGAAAATATACAATATAAATCAATCTATAATTTTTTTTTTTTGCATTTAACTCAAATAGTTTCCAATAGGGAACAAACATACAAACCTTTCATCAGCCCAATAGGAAGTGTGATCAAGGGAAGGAAGAACTAATGTAGCCTTCATAATTTTGGCAACAGCAACCATATCACATATTGTTCTTATTCACAAGGTACAAGTGCAGATTTCAAAAAAAAAATGATTTCCCCCCTCATTAGGCTAAACCTGTTAACATATATAAAGCATAAATTACCCAAAATGCCCTTCTACTACCAAAGATTTCCCAACTATATTTAGCTCAATTTAATTAACTATTTTTCCATTTGTACCCTAACAAACACACTAGGCTGAAGTGCACGAGTAGCAATAAAACTAATCAAACTAATAAAGCAAAATAATATTTTAGAAATCTGCAGACATAAAAATGAATGAACTAGTCTAGATCAACTAATTCCAATGGAGCAAAAATGAGTTTAAAAGCAATCAACTTATACAGACAAATAACTCTTTGATTAGTAGCATCCACCAAACACCAAATCAGTATTCCATTTGAATCAGTTCAAACACCCAAATAACTCAATCTGTTGTCAGGAAATCTAATGAAACTATCCTGCAAAAATTTCATCAAAACAATCAATCCTCCTTCAACATCGAATTCCAGGTCATTAAAACAAATTCGAAAATAAATTCTAAATACTTCAGGAAGTTTCAATTTTAATTAGAATATCAACACCATCGACCAAGAACTCAAATTTTAAATTGCACAATTTCACATGGAGATTAGGTCTCTTCATAAAATATCACAGCATATACCTGAATGGTCGGCTTGGGGCGGAGGTCGGCGGCGCTGCTTGAGTCGGAGGCGGCGAACATGGCTGGCGGGAGGATGGGTGAAGAAGAGATTGAAGACGCGTTGTGGAGAGACGTACCGGAAGATACAAGTTTTTGATATCTATTTGCCTTTGTAGACGTCGGAGGTGGGCAAGGTGAAGGAACGTGTGAGAAGGAAAAGGGCAAAAAAGGGAACGATACCCATCTGTTTCAGCCAGCGAGTTTTTTGAGATGACCCGGTAAGATGTTCAAGGACCAAGTAAGACGCATCATATGGAGGTATCAAACACATTGATCTGACCGAGTCAGCCAAAAGGGTCTGACCGGTCTGGGTCAGCAAGAAATCAAACAGGGCCTGAGTTCGTAGAGGACTTGTGTACATGTCAACTTTCACCTAATAAAATTACGAAAAATGATAATCATTATTTACCTATTTTTTATAGTCTTGACGCTTATACTGTTTATAATTATGCTATCTGTAATGTAATTACTGGTATCCTTGTAATTTGAACGGATTCATATAAGTCATAAACCTGAAAACAATATGTTTTCTATTCAACGATCAAAAGAGTAGAAGTAATAATTAATTAAAGAACAAGGGACGCTAATAATTAACTCCATGATTACAAGCTTTGCTTCCTACGCATTATCTTGATCCTTATGAATCTGTTTCAAGGTACTTCTTGAAATTAAGCCTCTTTCAACAGCAAGATTCCAAAAACTTCCCAAAATACCCTTATCATCAGCATAACTAGCAGCAAAACTTTTGTGGATTTTGTGAGTGATCATCAACCTCTTCTTGTACATCTCATCAAAAATCTTCAAACCACTATCTATATCACCTGCTTTCAGGTAGGCATAAGCCAAACTAGTAAACACAACACTATCTCCTAATATCCCTTTATCCTGCATAATATCACATAATCTTTGAGCATAATCAACCCTCTCTCTTTTACATAATCTCCTTATTAGTGCCCTATAAACCGAAATATCGACAATTATACCCTTCTGATGAAACTCATCAGGTAACTTCAAAACCATCTCTTCATTGCTTAAATTGCAGTAAAGATCCACAAGCCATGAATACGTGCAATTATTTGGAGATAATCCATCATTAAGCATACAAAAAACAAACTCCTTAGCATTTTCAATGTCTTTAATCTTGCAAAACCCATGAACCAATGCCTTGTAAGTAAACGAATCAGGTTTTAATCCTGCATTCAACATTGTACCTCTAACTTTTAAAGCAGACTTCATATCTCCAATCTTGCAATAAGCATTAATCAGTGTGTTGCAAGTGATGTTATCAGGAACAACCTTTTTCTCATTCATTTCATTCAACAATTTGTTTGCATCCTTTATTCTTCCATCTTCACATAACTTACGCAGAATTGTGTTATATGTAACAGTCCCAGGAGTCAACCCTTTAGCTTCCATTTCCTCACGCAAGGTCAAAGCTTGGTCAAAACTGTTGACTCTACAATACCCATCGATTAAAGTAGTGTAGGTCACATGATTTGGATTTGTGTCTTTCATTTCTTTGAACATTCTTAATGCTTCCCTCATTCGACCTTGTTTACAGTACCCATAGATCAATGAATTATAGGTTATAATGTCGGGATGAATATTTGATCTGTCCATTCTATCTTGAATACACAAAGCCTCATAATGCATACCTTTCTTGCAATATAATGATATCAATGTGTTATAGGTAAAAAGATCAGGAGAAACAGATTTAACCTCCATCTCACTTACCAATTCTTCTGCTTTTTCAACATCAGAAGACTTGCAACAAGCATGAATCAAGACATTGTAGATATGCAAATTTGGAAGTATCCCAATCTTGATCATTTTCTTGTAAGACTTCCAAACTGTATCTGTCAGCCTCTCTTTAACCAATGAATTCAGCAAAACAGTGCAAGCAGGTAAATGTGGCTTTACACCACGGACCCTCATGTGTTCAAACACTTGAATTGCATCTTGGGTCATCTTTGAATTTGCATAGAAGATTATCAACCAGCTCAAGACATGAGAATTCACATCTTGGTCATCGCAGGTAGTGGAGAGGGCATTTAAAACCGAGGGTGACGATAAAAAATCTCTCAGAGCAATTTTGTCGAGCAGTTGGTGTGCGCTTTTGAAGTGTCTGTGTTTTGTCAAAATGTGAATCATGGTCCATGAAGATTGTAACGAATGCTTGTAACCAGGATTCAGTTCAATCCATTTGAAGAAGTTCCAAGAGATGAAAGAAGAAGATCCGTGTTGGGAGAGATTCTGAAGTATCTGATTGACAGTGGTTGAGGAAATGACTGAACCGATTCTGGGTTTTAATAGAAGGTCCCAAGAACAACCTTTTAGTACAACTGCGCAAACTGTTTTCACTAAATGGGTTTCATTTGTAGCGAATCTTAAATTAGCCATGAACAACAAGACAGATGAACCCTAATTCAATGGGTTTCCATGGTGTTAGTTTGGTTTTTTTTGGAATGATGATAGTTACGTTGGAGAAAGCAGCAGATTTGAACTTCATGAGGCCACCACTTGGGCAAACGACCTAGGGGAGCTTCATAAAATAAAGATTTACTACCAGACTTTTTCCCAGCTTTTGACTCCATTAGATCATTCAACTGTCCTGCATGTACAGTGAAAGATTAGATAAGAATCAATTTCAACATATTATGGCCATCGTTCCATTTAGCCTGCTTAAAAAAAGCTTGATTTATTATGAATCAGTATCATGGGATGATACAATATTTTCAAATTTTGGCGTGCCTCTGACCTCCTATGTGGAATTCCTTACCTCAAATACTATCACTGGTCAACGTTTATGAACAAATAAAGCTTGTAGAGAGGCATAAGGTGTTAACAGCTTAAATCTATGGCAATTGTGTTATATGTAACAGTCCCAAGAAACCTGTATTTCTTCCCCAAAAATTACAATTTTCAACCCGATGGGTTTAAATGCTTTTTAGGGCTCAGTTTTCACTATTGAATCATCGTTTTCGTTCATGTACTGGAATGGGTTAATGTCATTTTATTAAAAGATAACCGGTTATTATTTTGATTTATAAAATACCCAGTGGCGTAGCCACATTAGTACAAGGTGGGCCTTGGCCCACCCAAATAAATTTGAGGTTATATATATATATATATATATATATATATATATATATATAATTTTATTAACTACCAAAGACTAGAGGAAGTGAATTGCCATATGGCATACCCATTAAAAATTTCAAATTATACACAAATAGAATACCTTTTGCTGCATATATTGTTACATTTTGTTATCATTTGAAGTATTTTACTACCGTTCATATTTTGTAAAATATTTGGCCCACCCTAAAACAAAATCTTAGCTACGCCTTTGAAAATATCATTCGAACTATCATTCGTTACCACCTCATGATTCATCTATTATCGGTTGACGAGAAATGTCCAGTTTGGCGCAAGGTATGTTTGGACACTTTTGGGGAACATGCGGTTCATTGTTGTAGAGAGCTCCCTGGTTACAAGTACCGACATGATGTGGTTATAGATGTTCTCTTTGATGTTTCTCGGCATGCTGGTATTTCCGTGAAGAAAGAAACGTCAGTGAATTTTTTGACGGACCCGCAGGATGGAAGATCCACACTCAGGCCGACTAACATTTTGGTTTGTGGATGGGTATGTCGCTTTGAAAGACGTTGTGTGCAAAGTGGCAAAACACGAGAATGCATGCATAGAAAATCAACATGTGTTTATACCTTTTGTCTTTGATACCCTTGGTTTTCTCGCACTAGAGGCGGTAAAGCTCCTCAACAGAGTCCATCGGGTCATGCATTCTAATGTTATATCTCCTAGATCCATAGATGTTGTTTTCAAAATAATTAGTTTTGCCATCCAAAAGGGCTAGTGGCGCAATTTATTGCCCGTTTGTCTTCCGTCGATATGTATTGACCTTTTTTTTTGTATCGTACTTTTGCCATATGAATATTAGTAATATCATTCTAACAATGATATTTTTTAAAATAAGATGATAGATCATTACCTTCTAATGTGGTTTTTTAGTTGAATGATATTTTTAAACATTTTAGATAGTCGGTTACCCTTTTTATGACATTAACACGTACTAGAATTAAGGAGTTAGTTAGATTTCAAACACATAGAGTAGATGAGAGACGGGGAGTTGGAACTAACCCTGTGGTCTTTGAGTTTTTTAAAGGAAGGAATAGGAAGAAAAGAAAATAAAAGTTACATTTAAGTAGGGAAAAGAATAAAGTGTGTTCTTTAGTTTTATTTAAAGAGAGAAAAAAAAAATAGAAGAAAAAACATAGTTTTTTTCCCTCAAAATCTATCTGCTAAATATGAGATGATTTGGAAGGAAAATTCCCCTCCATTTCCTTTTTTATTCCCTTTCCTTCCCTTCAATTTTATACTGAAGAATGGTATGCAAGAGAGTGAGAGATAAGATGATTGCAATAGGATTTAACCTTGTCATCTTTTTATTGCTTAAAGAACCAACAAATTCTCTCTTTCAGTTACAAATTAAATGTTTACATCTTTAAATGAAATCGGTGGGAATCTTCAAACAAAATCGGCATCCTACAGCTTTATGAGTGACCGAAGGAGAGCGTCTTACGAATGTAATTCGACCTTAACATGCTCATCGGTGCTGAAAATTTTAAAACAAAATCAACATCCCAATATTGATCCGCCCTTCACCGGCTATCGGAAATGGGATGGTGGGATGAGATAAGGTTTGTGTGAGAGAAATAGTGAGGAATGGTGACGAGAAAGGAAGAAAGGGTGAAAGAGAGATGTTGAGAGAAAGAGGGTAAGGAAAAAATGATGGGTTCATTTTTGTTTTTTTAATTAAATTTAGTAAAAAAAATTGAAAATGGTATATATTTCATTTTACATGCGCTCAGGGATTAACCCTGGAAGAAGTTAAAACCACATGGAAGATTCCTTTACAAAGGAAATAAATGCCCTATCTTTTTCATAAATCACGGGGACACATTGTGAAAATTTGTCTAAAGTTAATCTTATACTTGTTTTTTATGCTATTATTATAAAGCATGTTGACAAAATTTTGATATCATATCATTCAAAATGTGGGTTTGAAACATAGATTTGTCATTAGTTACCAAGATGACTATTTTTCATTTTACAAACAAGGGCATTTTAGAAACTAAGGGTGCGTTTAGTTGCCGAAAAATGGGTCGTTTTCCGGAAAAAATTTCCAAGACAAATGAGAATTTTGAAAACGCGTTTAGTTCGTCTATTTTTCTAAATTTTTCACGGAAAATGAAAATTTTCCGTTTTCTAAAATTACAAAGAAGTTGGAAATTTTTGGAAAACTGATAATCATTGTTTTCCACATTTTTCTAATTTCAAAATTTTCTAAAATATAAACACACACCCACTCCCACCCCATCCACCTCTACCTACCCCCACCTTAACACCCCCACCCCCCCACACACACATACATACCCACCCGCACACACACCCACCCGCACACACACACACACACCAACCCACAAACACACACACACATACATACCCACCCACACACACACACCCGCACACACACACACACCAACCACAAACACACACACACACATACATACCCACCCACACACACACATACACCCACAAACATACACACACACATACCCACCCACACACACACCCACCCACAAACACACACACACACATACATACCCACCAACGCACCCACACACACACAAACACACCCACACACATACCCACCCACACCCCCACAAACACACACCCGCACACACAAACCCACACCTACCCCCACCCCCACCCACACAGACACACACACCCACACACACACACAAACCCACACCTACCCCCACAAACACACACATACACACACACAAACACACACTCGCACCCCCACCCACCCAACACCACCACCACAATCACCGACCTACCATCACCATCACCACCACCACCACTAACCCGTCACTAGCACCATCACCACCGCTGTCGCCGCCATCACCACCACTGACACAATTGCCGCCGCCACCACCATCGCCTGTCATCACCACCACCGTCGCCGACCCGATACCGTCACTGCCCCCACCCACACCCTACCACTGCTACCGTTTTCTAAAAATGAAATCCGATAGAAAAATACACATCTAAACACGTTTTCTAATTTTCTAAAACTGAAAATGAAAAATGAATAAGTTTAACTAAACGCGTTTTCTAAATTTTTCAATGAAAAATGAAAACGGAAAACCAAAATCGAAAGGGGAAAACAAAAAACGGAAAATGAAAATTGTTTTTCCGTAACTAAACGCAACCTAAATATTTTAGGAAACATCCTAGGGCGTCATCACAGTAGAGTGAGTGGGCTTGTAATCTTTCATAAAAAAAACAGCTCATGGGTAAACCCTACAAGGACAACATGTAGCGGCCTTTTGATCTCACGCCTCGTTATCTGTTTTGTTCACTCATCATCGGTGATCAACATGATATTGCATGTCTCCGACATTCTTTCACCCAACTCAGGTGAATACGCTGCAACAGTAAACCCTTTTTATTTCTGATCCAAATACTTATGCAGGGGCGGAGGGAGTACAAGGGCCAGCAGGTGTTCAGCCCCCCTTATCCCTTTTAATTAGACTATAAGAATATGAATATTAATAGAAGGCTATAAGATTCTCCATAGTTTCATTTATTCATTTTACCCATTGCCACCCCCAATTAGAGTAGGCCCATAAATAGATATTTATAAAATACGATATTACCTCCATTTTATCTTTTACCAATTCACATTCCTCATATTTTCCAATAAGTCAAATATCCCCTTTATCTTTTACCAATTAATTTATTTACTTTTCTTTTCTTATACAAACTTCCTAAATAATCTTTATAAAATTAAAACTCACTCTATTCAAAACATAAACTAGAACCTTTATACCTAATTCATTATCATCGACAAATAACGCCTCCATCGACTACAAAACTCCAAGTTTCAACATCATTTTTGAACTTATTAAAAATTCTAATTTCAAAGTTTTATATTGCTATCTATATTTCACTAATAATTACATGTTAGTAAATATTATTGGTGTGACCTACTCACGTTATATTGATAATGTTAAGATGTTCTCTTTAGAATATATATTTATTATTAAGTTAGCTTTAGTTTTGATTGAAAATAAATATGTTTGTTATTAATTATTAATAATTTAGTTAGTATTTCCATCTTCTAAATTGTTCATATAAATTATGTTAATTATTAATTAAGACATAATAATATTGAAGTCGGTTAATATTGAACTTGAAATGAAAATAATATGAAAATTTTAAAATAAATAAATTTAGATTTTTTTATTTGTTCTATAATACATGAAAACGACTTATGGTCTTAAGATATACTAGCCACAAACGTGGTTTAA